CTCAAAAAAAAAAAAAAAAAAGAAGAAGAAGATATACATACACATAGTGAAAGGATTTCTGCAGTCACACACACCCACCACCTCACACAGTTACCTCTTGCGTGTGGTAAGAGGACCTAAAATTGACTCTCTTAGCAAATTCCCAGTACGTAATACAATACTATGAACTCTAATCCCCATGTTGTACATTATTTTTGACAAAGTACCAAAACAATTTAATGTGGAGAGAAGAGTCATCTGTTTCACAAACGGCAATAGAATGATTAAATGTCCACATGCAAAAGAAGGAGTTGGGTCGGGCTCAGTGGCTCAGCCTGTAATCCCAGCCCTTTGGGAGGCTGAGGTGAGTGGATTGCCTGAGCCCGTGGGTTCGAGACCCACCTGGGCAACTTGGCAAGACCTCATCTCTACAATAAATCAAAAATTAGCTGGGCATGGTAGCACACGCCTTGGAAGGCTGAGGCGGAAGGATCACCGGAGCCCAGCAGGTCAAGGCTGTGGTAGCCCAGAGCGTGCCACTGCACTCCAACCTGGGTGCTGGAGTGAGACTCCAACTCCAAAAAGAAAAAAAAGTAACTCAGAATGAAACACAGAGCTAAAACTTAGAAGAAAAAGAAACAGGAGAGTTTCACTAAGAAGTAGAAGGCTTCTTTTGAGGGTAACAAAAGTGTTACCAAATGAGATCGTGGTATGGATGCACAGCTCTGTGAATACACTGAAATCCTTCATACTATACATTTTTACCAGTTTTTTTTTTTTTCCCTAAAGCTCTGTCACAAATTTCTAATGAGTGACCATAAGAGAAAGAGGAGATTCACCTCCCCAAGGTAGGGACGGGGGCCAAAGCCAGGAAACATGGTGACAGCCATAGCTCAAAGAGCACACAGCTACGCCAGAGACTAGTAAGGCAATGGCCCATACTATATGTCTTTAAAAGAATGAATTTTTTAGTATGTGATGTACAGCTCAATATAGCTGCTTTTTAGAAAATCTTACGTAGTTATAAATTCTTTTATAGAATGTGGTTTACCTTTTTTTTTGAGATAGGGACTTGCTTGGCATAATCATAGCTTCCTGTAGCCCCAAACTCTGGAGCAGCTGGGACTACCGATGTGTTTCACCACAGCTGGTTGATTTTTTTTTTTTTTGAATTGGGGTCTCACTCTGTCGCCCCGACTGGAGTGCACTGGCCGCTCCCGGCCACCGCAGCCTTGAC